TAAACAAACATTATTACGTAAAAATATTTTGTCATGTTTAAAACAAATGTCTGCAGTATCGGAAGGTAAAGTATAGTATACTGTATACATGAGTAAATTTTTAGTTACATTTTTTTACAATTAGATAAGTTAATGATTTTAATAGAGTGTATAATTTTTATACTAGGGAATGATTATAAATCGGCTAGATTAGAGAAATGGAAGTTGATATTTCGAAAACTAATACCACAAATGTTTGAAGAAAAGGATCCACAAACACTGCCCATTCTTATTGAAAGTTTATCAACAATTGGATCAGATCTATTTAATGAGCTTGAAGTATAAATACAAACAATTTATTCTTAATTTATTGATTAATACTAAGTTAAATAAATTTAACAAAATCGTATTTAATATATAGGATGAATTAGTTGATTCATACTGCGATGAATTACATATGTTTGTTACCAGTGAAGATCAAAATATCCAATCAGCTGCAATAGGAACATTGGGTACACTGGTCAAGTATGAAAAGATATCAAAAGTAAGTTAAAATCGTTATGACATAATTAAAAAAAAAAAAATATTACCTTTAGTAGTTATTAAGTATTTAACTATTTATTTTTTGATTAAAACAATTTTATAGAATCCGATTTATATAAGACACATTATTGATGGATTGCTTTATGTTTCATCAGTAAATAAAGTAAATTCAGTTCAAGAAAAACTAGCATGGACATTAAATTGCTTATCTGAAATCTTGGTAGATAATTGGTAAGCATCTATCATATCTATGTAATACATAATTTAACACCTGTGACTATAATTTATTATAGCTATCAAATATCAATTTTCAATTTTCAATAACAACTAATTTTTAAACTACCACCTATAACAAATTAGTAAGGATAAATGGGTAATTACTACCTTCTTTTGATCGCTTTTCTTCAATTATGGGCTGATTATTATAATTATCTAAATACCTAGAATTTATTTCTCCCTTCAGTATTTATTGTTTGACAAATAAGTACAAAATCAGATCATGGTCTCTATATCAATATTACATATCATTCATGTTTTAGGGATTTGTATGAAATTGAAGATGAAAAATTATTATGCTTGGCCAAAGCTGCGTTATCAACACTCGACCGTAAACCGGTAATTAGTTCACATTGTAACATATTATTGCCGGGTGGCATGAACAGTTAATGAATAAATAGTGAGCTGGTCTCTTTAACATGATTTAGTGGTCCATGATTTTAATTTTATTGGACCATTACATTTTTCATGCAGCCCTACACATATCATTAATATTGTTATTGAAAATTGTTTAATCTATATTAATATGTTTAGTGTAGAGCTTGTGGTACTAGGGCATTAGGTCTCTTACTGTCATTAATTGATCATACTGATGTTACCGGACAGCAATTTGGTTCCTTATATGAAGACTCCATAGATATTTTAATCAATATTGCCAATGGAAATGATAGTATGAAGGTTAGTAGATAACAATTTTATTGCAAGTAATCGTTCAAAGTTAAATTACAATAATTGTATTCTGTTTTAGAATCGTTGGAATAGTTGTTATTCTTTAGGTGTCCTCTTTCAAACCAACTCTATCCAAAAGTTACCAGAAACTTTAAAGGTAAAAAATAGAGATGTCAAAAGTGAAATGTGTAACATTATATGTGATATTAATAGTTTGAAATTGCATTTCCAGAACAACGTATTTAATACATTATCTACTTTAATTATAAATTGCTGTAACTTTAAAGTCAGGCATGTGGCTTGTTCATCTTTAATGTATAACCGTCGAGACCTTTATGGTAATAATTACTCAAAAATGTGGCACAGGTTGTTTGATGCATTTGAAAATGCTCAAAATTTACCACATATTTGTGAATACAAGCATCAACAAAAACTCATAAATCAGGTTTGTGGAAAATAAAATTTATTGTCCATTTAACAAATGAAGAGGACACCTGCCCTCATACATTGTCTCCATCTTAACATACGCATACCATGGCAGATTGTAAATTCTGAATAATCCACTTATCTCTTTTATGTTAAATGAGTAAATTTGACCTATTATCAAATTTAGAACCAAGAAAATTATCAAGTAAATCTCATTGGTTTTTTAATATTTTTATTTAAAGCAAGTTATGATAATTTTATAAATAGTTGTTTGAACATTTAAAAATGCTCATAACTTGCTATAAATAAAAATATTAAAAAAAAAACCTATGAAATTTCTAGATGTTTGTGCTTCTAAATTTGGTCTATTAGTTTTAAGATTAAACATATCAGAGTTATGTGGATTATTCAGAGAGTACAATTTGCTATCATACGTTTGTAAGACTGAGACAATGCATGTAGGTGAAGTGTCCTCTTAATGGGATTTCAATTTATTTTTTCAAACAGCATTCAGAAGAAACAACATTAACTAAATAATTTATTTGATTTTCTAGCTTTGTGCATCATTTTGCAATTTGTGTAATTTACTTGAGCCCTCAGACATAAGTGGTTTAACATACTTGTTTGACTCTCGGCTACACGTAATCCAAAATGAGATGGAAAAATTTTGTAATTTAAACGACATTCCAAATTATTCTGAAATGTTAGCAGCGACACATAACCATTTACATAATATGTTGAAAACCAAACAACTCACATCTAAACAAGAAGAGGTTGTAAACAGCTTATTAAATATGTTTGATAATCATTAAATTGTCTTATGATTTTGTTATTCAATTTAACATTGTGTATAATTTAATTTAATAAAATTTATATGTATTATATTCGAGGTATTTCGATTACTTTTATTATTTATTTAAAGTACATTAATCAACAGTAGAACAAAATTCTATTATGTTTGATCTTCATTATTACCCGCAATATATTTATAATATATTTATGTTGGGTACACCTGTTTGAATGTAGTAAACCATAAATATTTTTTGAATATTACACTTAAGTATGCGGAAAGACTAAAAGTAAACTTTAATGAATAGCAAATTCAGGATTGCAATTGTTTTTAAATTGTCTTTTAACTTCTTTGTTATAGAACTAGAACACAACAATGCAAAAGCATTAACACTGATGATTTTTTTTTTATTACGTAAATTAAAGATTGTAATAAATAAACAATAAAATATATTTTTAAAAATTTGGTTTATTTAAAAAAAACTTACAAAATTAACACAAGAACAAAATACTTCACAAAAATCACTATACCAAACTTAAAATAATTATTAATAGTACAATTAATACCTAATCACATTTTAGATTTAAAAAAAAATACTGAAGCACCTGATATATTTATAACCTATATCCTATGGATTAACTTGACAATAATCAATGTAATACAACCGTTTAAAAAAAAAATATACATGTCAAAAATAAACCATAATAATTCACATAAATAAAATGTATTGTACCCTGAAATATTTTTATTTTGAATTCAAGTCAATTTTATACACTCAAATGTATTTTTATCCAAGCATTATAAAGAAGAATAGAAATTGTAGCGAATGATTATTTTGGTGTAGCACCATTTCTCAAATATTTACTACTGTTTTATTACTGTGAAAGTCTGAAATGAGTTCATACATCATCTGACAGTGATTCTATCATTAAATAGTATAAATTTAACTATTCATTTAATGTTAAGTTCAGATGACATATTACATTCATTGGTATAAGGTTTTTTATGCAAGTACATTTAATACATTTATATCATGATATTATTTTTGCCTGGTAAAATAAAAGTTAGATGACGAAAAAAAAAATTAACATTAATTGTAATTTTAAATGTAAAGTATTGCAAGATAATGAAATAATAACAAAATAATAACAAAAAACAAAATTAAATGCATAAACAAAGTAATTGATGAAAGAGTAAACATAATTTGCTTAAAATACTGGATCATAATTTTAAAGTTAAAATAAGTATATTATTCCTTTATAAGAAAAACTAAATACTTTTTCATTAAAAATATATGATTAAATTTGATTAAATTTGTATAATTTTGTCTAACATAATGTGTCTAGTCTTTTAATTTACAAAAATTGATATGATTGCATATTTAAAACACATCTAACACCGTAACACTGTTCTATATCATGCTTTAATTATTTAAACATATGTTATTATACTTCAAAAAGTAAATTATTTTAGAATAATATTGTTACTATATTTTTATAATTAATATGAATGTATAATAATTATGTCTATGTTTTATGATTATGATTATGATTCAATTAACCATGTGATGAATATATTAAAATACATTAAATACATTTCATAAAAATTTATGCTAACAATAAGATAGTGAAGATACAACATTAAACATATAACCTAAATCACACAATAAAACCAATCGCTACCGTTGTGCATTAAAATAAAACAACAAATGCATGGCAGCATGGAAATGAAAGCGTGCAGTCTTATAATTAAGGTAATGACAACCTTGTTTTGTCGTGTAAAATGACTAGTAATTTTTCTTTAGCCAAATTTATAAAAAAAAGGAAGCATTCAAGAGTTCAATCCTCTATACATGATTGTAAAAGAAGCATTTTAGATTAAGACAAACTTATGATATTATACAAATATCTTAATGAATAATAGGTTTTAAATTTCAATATAAAATTATATGATGAGTTATCACTCATCAGACATTTTTGGAATTGGCATGTCATTTGATATACCTAAATAAGTATGAATTTCGCTAGGGTAAATAATATACTATTATAAGATTATTATACAGTATTTGATCAATGGCATTTTTATACTCTCATAAGTAGTAACAAATTATTAAGATAGATTAAATTAAATAATTCAAATAAGGTAGTATTATATAAATAGAAATTGATTTTTCAGTTAAAAATGAAATTAATTTTGTAGTCACTCGACAACTTGAAATGTTTAAAAATAATCATATTATACATATTTGTAAGCTATATCAAATTTTAATATTTGTTTAGTATAAATATTACTTAAAAATGAAATTCATTAACCCTGTGGATAAATATAATATGAAATAAATATTGTGCAGCCTATCAAAATACAATTTAATCTATTTCTACATAATATGTCTTTTGTTAACGATTTTGTTATGTTTTAGTAAGCACCCTACACTTAAGCACCTCTTAAAAATACTTTAAGAACTATAAGATCAACATTACCATAGTTAAATTAAATGACTTAGAATTTTTACTAAATCAAATCTCAGATAAGATAACTTGATATTTTTAGCACAAATATAACTTATCTTCTAAATATAAAAATGTACAATTGATAAAAAATACACAAAACAAAATATGTTAGATTTATAAATTTGGACATAGATTAAAATGTAACATATTTTGGTAATTAATGTACTAATATATTTAATCTAGGATTTAGATAGTAATGTATCTTAAAAAAACACCTCGAAAATAGTGAATATCTAATTTTTAACTTGTATAGTATGATACAGAAATCAAACAAAATGTCAAAAATAAAAAATAAAACAATACAAAAAATTGATTGAGATAAATATCAAACAGCAACTCGATTACACACTGACTCAAAAATTAGTATCAGTGTATTCAAATCTTAGCTATGTTTCACAATAACCAGGATTTATAGTAATATTTGGTATTAACTCAATTCGTTCAACATCATCATGGTTTTCCAACCCTAATTAGAAACAAATAAAACCTAGTTAGATACTTACATAATAATAAATATTAAATAAATTTGAAAGAGATATTATACACCATAATTTGTTCAAATTTTTGTCAAACTAGACATACACAGATACAACACTAGTGTAATGACTAATGAATCAGAAATATATAAGGTACTCCAAAAAACATTTTATGAACATTTTAGGTGTCCGAGAAAAATTATAATTCAATAATTTTGGGAACAAAAATCTAATTAAACATATATTTAGCCGAAAATTATGAAGTTCATTCATACAGACTTAATAACAATTATTAGCAAGTATACTGGGTTTTTATTTTAGTTGAAATTGACTAGTACATTACCTACCAGTTTTTTTCACATTATTGTTTTTTTTAATCTGAAATGTACAATAAGAATTCATACAATATTTCTTTTATCTATTTTCTGAATTAAAATTATATTTATCAATAGGTACCCTGACAATCTATAGTTAATTCATTTTTTTTGTTAATATTTTCTGGTATTTTGTTTTACTATAACTCCTCCCACCCCTTCCCATATTAAATGCTCGTTTACAGCCCTATTTGGGTCCAAATGATACCCAATTACATGATGCCCTTTTAAAAACTGAGCACCTCTAAATTTTAAGTGAAATGAATAACACAAGAGCATGAAGAATAAAACGTTGATTGTATTGATTTCTTTATGTCAAAGTAATTGGTTTAAATGAATTAGTTGTTAATTAAGTTCATAAAAAAATGTCTAACCTTACTAAGTTTGAAGTTAGTTTTACTTACTTTTTTGCACTCTAGGATCCTTCACAAATAAACAACACAATGCTAGAACAAATATACTAAAGGTACTCATGATCACAATTACTGCAAATGTCCACGCTCTGGTATCGAATGTATCAATGCCTTCCAAAAGGTGTTTCTCCAACTCTAAAATTATATAGTATAATAATAATATTAAAAACAGTAATTACAATAATGGGTTTAATAAACACAACCCCAATACGTAACATAATAAGTAATAATATACCAGTATTATATACCATTTTTTAAGATTATTATTTAGAACATTTCTAAAGGTTTTAAAATTATAAATAATTTTTCATAAGTTAATTTTTAATTTATTAATTATTGTTCAATACCAAATTATCAAAGGTATTTATCCAGAATAATATAAATTATTATGATAGTATTTTACCAGATTCTGTCATGTCACTTAATGTTTTAGTGGTCAACTCGGTTTTGGCCCCATCACCTATTTCATTGGTGGCCCAAATTTGAATTTTATATAAAGTATTCGGACGCAGTGAATAAATTTCTTTGTGAATCTATTAAAAATAAACAAACTAAGAATTATAAAATACTTTATAATAATTTATAGGTTATATAATCTTAAGTTTTTATTTATATAGACATACAAATGTCTATATAGTACAAGTTGTGTATTTAAGGCTTTACATACAGCTAAGAAAACACATCTTTCCCATCTAGTTGTACTTTTACATCTATGATTCAACTTTTATGTTTAATTAAATAAAAGGAAATTATATATTTCTTCATACATATTATTATGTATTCTAAATAGAATTTAGTTAGAACTACACTGTGTAGTTAAATCTTAAATGTTTAAAAATATATACACTATGCATAATGAACAAGGGCCCGTCCGGGTATTTTTGGTCTAGGGTGCAAAATTAATTAAGGGACCGTGTTTTTTTTTAAACTTAATTAAACTAGGATAGAGTTCTACAAGAGATTCTACATTACAAGAAGAATTTAAAAAAGTTTAAGAAAGGGGCCGACAGTGGATATCAGTGCTCAGACCATAAATTTGAATTTAGCCTGGGCTGCTACTTAGTTTATAGCAATATAGCACGAAGGTCCAGTCTGGTGTCCACTCCTAATAATGAATTATTTTTCAAAATAAATCTACATAAATTAAGTCTAAAAGAGTAATGTATCCTCTCAGAGTGCCTAGATTAATTTTCAAAAAAAAAACATTTCTTTCCCATTTTATAAATATAATTTACCTTTGAGTATTTATACTACTCAACTATATTGTATTTTCATAGATTACATATGAGTCTTAATTAATTTCTAAGTTTGACTGAGAAGTAAGAGTTGTGCAAAAATGGATCAATCATTTAATGTAAAAATCAATAATTTAAAAAATAATATTTATTAAGACATTTATTTATGATATCAAAAAAAGAAAGTGTTCTAACTACAAACTGTTTTATTACCTTAAATGGATTTACTAGAAGAACACTCCAATCATCTCTTGAAATTCTATCATCTATAATTCTATACCTAATGGTTATATTCTTAACAGGAGATCCATCATTGTTTTCTATTTCTTTCCATGTGATGAGCATTAATACAGTATTAGGTATAACTCTTACATCTATCAAGGATCCAGGTACACCTGAAATAATTTTAATACAGTTAAGTAAATTCAGAAATACAATTTACTATTTTACTTACTTTTTGGTTTTAGTTCAAATTCAGTCAGTGGAACATGCCCAACATAACCACTAGCAGCTGCTAGATCACAAATATAGACACCAGCATCAGATGTATCAAATGATGAAATGAATAAATCTCCATTATCTAGAACTTTAGCTCGACCAGGTAATTCTTTATGATTCATCTGCCACAACACATTAGAACTTTTTATATTATTACTGCTACATTTTAGTGTAACATTTTCACCAATTTTTGGAAACATTTTAAAATAATTGTTATTTATCCCATTTGTATCTGAAACAAAATAAAATCTATAGGTAATACTAATTTCATTAATTTTCATTTATAATCTTAGGTACTCATAAATAAAATACTTATGATCTTTCAACAATTTTAAAATTTTAGAGACATTGAAATCCGATAAATATGACTGTAGTCAGAAAACAGTTAATCTTAATTAAAAGAATCAGTTTTTAAAAACACAGTAGATATTTGATAAATATTTTTTGTTTAAACATATGTAGGTAGGTAGATAGGTACTTACATGGGATTGAAAATAGTAAGACAGCAAATATACAAACACAAATAAATTCATTAGATTGGCGATTTATCATATTTAAATGGGCATCTTGAAACTTTTAACTAATTTATAATGTCTTCTATTCACGAAACAAGTTTTGAGGTGAACTCACTAACTTGACATCTACGTGACACATAAATATATACGAGACTCACTCATTATTGTATAACATAAACTAGGTATATTATTCATAAACCTATATCAAATTAATTTGATGACATTTGAAAAAAAATACACGGCATTTAAAGAAATTGAAAAACTAAAGATTTTTTATCGTGATTTGAAAATTTGTAATAAATGTTAAGTTGAGTCAAAACCATGAACATAAAATATTAATATTAATAACACGATTGAAGATAGTAAAAACAAATTGTGATTGTACAACTACTTTTGGAACACACTGTGGAAGCGATGTCTTTGTAAATGTAAATCATATTTAGGGATGGCAAAAATCGCAGCTATCACGATGTATCGAATAATCGATGTTTTCATTACGTCTTATCGATGTCGATGTATCGAACCGATTAAAACGACGATTAATCGATACATCGCTGAATAAACACCGATGTATCGAAAAAAAAAAAAAGGCAAATTTTGCACTCTAAAATGAAGGATACGGTTATACCATACACCACACCGTACACTTCACATTTTATAAGGTAGTAATCATGGATTACACATTCACACTTGCAGGGTATTGAGCAACTTTAATATTTATTAAGCATTTAGTGGATATTGAAATCTACAATAGCTTAATTTTTATTTGTACAGTGCCGCCACACTGGGCTTATTCTAGGCATGTTTAAAGTTTAGTAAAATAACACAAACACTATATACTATAATATATACTATATAGTTGACAAAACATGAACAATTAACAAATTTCAAAACTACAAAAGTGAAAACAAAAGACTAATGAGTAAAGACAATGTTGTATTCTTGTTGAATACTTCAAATTTGAATGTCCGTTACCGACACAGTGTCAAATTTATAGGCCTTTGGGCTTTGATCATGGCCATGGATCATTGTTTATATTCCTGCCTACATAGACCAACTACCAACATAAACCATAACCATAATAGGGTCTTTGGAATACGATAATTATGATATGAACCACGGACTAATTGATTAGTGATAGTCGATAGACTAAGTGATTAGAACAAATTATTTATCAATTGTTATTTATTAACTTTATAACCTAACCACAAATTGGACTTCAAATATTATCATAAAAAATTTTAATTTTAAAATATATAAAAAAAAATTTAGTTACGTAGCTACTTCGATACATTGACACATCGAAATAACATCGAAGGTAATTTTCGATGGACCAATAAAAATCGAAAGACACTGTCGGTGTAAAAAACATCGATACATCGAATATAACAATCGATGTTTTCGATTAATCGATGTATCGTTGCCATCCCTATCCGTAACTACAGTTTACAGCTTAATAGCGCAAAACCGTACTTCGATTGTTGTTTGTTGTTAAATGCCTACGATGATGTATGATTTTTTCTAATATTTTCTATTGTTGTAAACCAACGCTTAGTCACTCATTATTGTTTATTACAGAATACGAACAAGATATGAACAATTGAACAATAAGAACAATCGGTAATTCATTAATGCGCAATGGAGTAGAGATGGGTTTATCGTTCACTTAGGTGAACTAGTTCATTCGTTCATCGTTCACTTATTTGAAGTAGTTCATTGAACGATACGTCTAAACATATACTGTATGGACGAACTGAACGATACGTATTTTTTTTTTTTTTTTTTTTTTTTTTTTTAGGCTCGGCCAACTGAGGCCTTTACTTTTAGTAGATTTAATCTTGTCGGTATCGTTTTTTTACGAAATTTCGCTTTTGTGGTTGGCGCGCGAAACTTTTACTCGAAGAATATTTTTTTTTTTTTTTTTTAATTTTTTATTGATCTTCGGCTGCGGCAACTGAGGCCATTAGCTATAGTAGGATTTGTATTGTAGGTTTGTATTGTATATTTTGGGACGATAGGGGGGAACACGTGTGTGTTTGTTTTTGGCAGAATTTCGAATGGGGCACCCGTAGGTTTCTGCCATGTCCCGGGGGTGGGGGATGGCAGCACTTGTTCTCCGGTCACCGCGACTTGTCCGGAGAAAAATGCCGCCCGGTAGCCGAGGATCGAACCG